TTCAGACAGGTTGCTGGGCCATCTTAACATTATTTTAACAGCCAATATACCCACCGGTATTTCATTTGCATGAGGAAAAAAGGAACCATCGTTGGGATGCTTATGAATGGAGCCTTCTGCAAGTAAATATGGTCAATTTGAGGATCTTAAGCAGCTGCAGACCCAGCAATATTCATAAACATCAGGCTAGAGGCTCTATTCACTCCTCTGCAGTATTGGTTTGAAGCCACTACTATACTTGCAGTAGAAGTCGGCCATTGGAAGGAAGTTGCATAGTATAGCTTCAAACGACAATCTTAAATTATCAGAACTGACATTAATTAATGTTAGTGCTAGTTTTAGGTAAAACAGGTGTTTTTAAATACTGTAATTTTGGAAGCTTGTACTCTATTAGAATTGTCACTGGTACATACACTTAAGCAATATATCTGCTACATCAGAATATTACATCTCTTTAAAACGCAAGGTTATATTCTATTTCACTTCCTCATGGTGAACTTGTCAAATATTGTTTTTAGCCTGCTGCTTTGAGCATTCTTTATTTCTGGCAACTCAGTTTTTAAAAAAAAGTGAATTGAAGTCTCAGCTACTGTATTTTGTAATAGCAACAACTTTTTCTTTTTAATACTTGTAATATTTGTTCTAGGTATTTTATTTTTGTGTTCACTCCTCTACCCTCCCCCAAAGCATTCTCTTCGCATAAGGCACTAATCCAACTCATGCTGGAGCATGGTAATGTGTTATACAGTATTCACTGGACAACATGCCATTCTTTTGATATTAGATTTTTTTTAAATCCCCTACAATTTTATCCCTTCCTCACCTGAACACAGTGGTTCATAGTTTCTTGGATGCTGGTTACCCACTTTGTATCTAACTTTGTGGCTATTTCAAGTATAAACCTGGACATTCAGTTTCAACAAGATATTGGATAATGGGGGGCTTTGTAGTCAAGCCTGATCCTTTCCTTGCCCAGTGTCCACAGGTTTATGTTTCAGCAGGCTCACTGGATAGCAATCAGGTATTTAACCCTTGGCTGATTTGTTCTTTTTATGCATTTTTTTCTCCCCCTTCATTTGTAAAATACCTTAGGTCAGATCATCAAAAGACCTCTAACATTTAGTAATGTTTTACCAATAAGCCAGATATTATTATTATGTTACATTAAATGATTGTTTTGGCTTTTTTAAAAAGGCATGGTCAGATGTTAATGAAGAGTGGATGATACATTCTGTTAGTATATTAGTGCATTGATCTGAGTTTCAACCTAGTTCCTGCTAAATGGAATGGAATTCATTTTATGGGTAAAATCCTAGTTGATGTGAATTAGTAATTCTAAAATCCATTTCCTAGTCTCTGGCATGAGTGCAGAAACAGAATACTGCCTCCAGTTAGAAGTTGTTTGGGAGTATTACATGGATCAGAGAAGCAAAGAGTGCTTGATATTGATGACTCAATACCAAAAAGTTGTAAAAGCATTTTGTTTTCGAGGACATTTTTTTCACCACAAATAACAATTTTAGCTAACAATTCAAGTCTTAAAATCTATTCCATGAATTGTGATTAACAGCATGTACTCCTTAAAAAGATTATTTTTATTTCCTAAACATCCAAATGTCTGAAAACATGTCAAGGAAAAGTATGTGATGTTAGCTGTCTAATCACTAATGTACATTTTTGCATGTAATACCTAGCATCAAGAAGACAGCAGTTACTTTTTAAATTATGAATTATAATCTGCATGAATATCTCAAACATAAAGTTGCAAATGCCAGTTTCAGTTGTTAAAGTGCCCAATTACATAACAAACCCATTTCTTGAATTGGATGGCTTTTTCAAGCGATGAATCTGTATTTTAGGAAAATTGCCCCCCAAAAAAAGCTTTCTGCCACGTGGCAACAGGTGGGTATTTAAGCCAAGGAAGATTAGAGTGCATAAATTCTTTTTCTTTTGTGTGAAATGTTTTTTGTCAGAGAGACAATTGGCAGAAAGCAATATTACTTTCCAAGCTTGAGAGATTTCTGAAAAGTTTCCAGCTGTTGAAAAGTCAGTGTCTTCTGAAACTTTTGTGTCAACCAACTGGACGTGGCATGATTTCAATACTGGTAGCAAAGCGCTATATACTGTTAAGTACATAATATCACAAAATCGTTGAACAATATCTTAGTCTGGTTAGGCTTTAGTTGTTTGCTTGCTTTAAAATTGTTTGTAAATTCCAGTGTGCTTCTTTAAATTTTAATACAAATGAACATTCTGAGTACGATCTTCAGGGGGGGGAAAAAAACTTTAGCATGTACCAGAACACAGTGTTCAGTTACACAAACCATTCTAGGTGAAAAAAGATCTTTAGGGTTAGGTGGCATGCATTATGTGGAACTCTTAAGCATGATAATGGGTTTCACTGTGTGTCTTGTCACATCTGGCTTCCCCCCAAAAAAATTATGGTACTTTTTGGGGGAAAGTTAGACTGTATTTTCACTGATGCCCACCACTTGGTGTCTTTGTAGCAGATCTCGTAATAGTTGTTTGCAAATGAAGTTGAAAACTGAATGTTTATAGTTGATCATTATTGGCTTGGAGTTTTTTTGTTTATAAAAATTTTAAATTGATATTATTTCTTTAGGATTTTTTTAAACCGGAAAGGAATATTTTACGTTTACAGGATTGTTTATTCATTTTCTAAAAAAATATATAAAATTGTTCCTTGCATTTAAATCCTTGTATTTTAATATTGAGCCCTTCATGTCCTGAGCACATCTCAAAGACCTTCAAGGAATTTACCTTAAAAGTATATTTTCAAAATAGTTACCTTTATGTCAATTAAAAACTGGGGGATGAGAGGAGGAATATTTGAATAGTTGAATTGGTATTTTAATATGGTATATCTATTGGGACGTATTTTGTCTTGCATGTATTATTGTAAGATAATCATTGTGCAATACAATTGACATTTATATGGCGCCTTTTATGTCTCAACAGTACTGTTATATCAGAAGTAGGAAGCAATTGGAATATACTGAATATTATAGCTGAACATCTTAAAAGTTGTACAAAATAAGATGTAGCATATTGTTACACTGATTTGTATATTTTTATCACATTTACAAAGTAGGGAGAAGAAGAATCCTTGGGGAATTTATAGTTGTGAATAATAAATTTTGTTTAAATTAACAATAGCGCTGATAGCTGCAGCTGATTTGAATAGGAAAAAATGGTTATGAAAGTTCAAAAAAAGTAACATTATTGATTAGGTGTGAGACAGCCTGTTTGGTACAAAAAAAGTAGGAATAACATTATTTGGGCGTGGTATTGCTGGCACCAGATATAGTTTTTTCTGGTAGCATTTAGCTCCTCCGGAAAGGAAATGTGATTTGGAATGTGTCCCTGTTTCAGAAGAATGACAAGGTTATATTTTTGTTCTGTCTTTGGGCTCTGCTGGTTAGACAAATTAAGTTTATTCTCGGATGAAACTCTGAAGGAAACCAGACTTTTGAAGAATGCAATGAAAGGAGCAAAATTGAATAAATCTTTTCTCCTCATTTTAAAACTGTACCTATTTGATACGTGTGTACTATTTTGAGAAACATGTACTTTGAGTTGATTGGAACAGTTGAGACACAGTACATTAAATATTTAATATGCTATTCAAGACTGAAATCAGGATGAGATTTCAGTTTGGTGCTAACCTGATCAATTCGTTATAACCACACTGGCCTTAAACTTACAACTTAGACATTGCGCTCTCGTAACCAAAGAAGTCTTGCGGCTGTCATCACTTTAGTTCAAAACTTCTGTACACTTTCCCACGATATCTCTCATTCAGAATGATTTCCCTGATCTGTGACCAACACTTTTACATTTGTACATTTACAGTATGCTGTGCGCAATTGGCTGTCCAGTTTTACCCACAAAATATGCAGTCAATTCACTTTACATTATATTCTGTGAAGCACTTTGAGATGTCTCGAAGACGTGATGAGGCACTATATCAAATGCAAGGATTATTATAACTCTGTGCCAAGGTGTTGATCATAAAGTGGATTTACATTAAAGCTGAAAAAATGCGTTATTTTAAAATCATCAGGAATTATAGCTTAAATTAATCGGCATGAGTTTTTAAAAAATGCACTGTGGGATTTGTTTTGATTTTTCAAGTCAATTTTGTAAGTCAAGAATTTTTTTTAATCTGAAGAAAACATTTACCATGACCAATTGCAGCACCCTCTAGAGGACGGAAGATCAGTTACTTAAAGCAGTTTGGTTGTCATTTCTTCCATAAATGTTTAGTGTCTTAGTGAGAAATACATTTATGTTCTATTCATTTATTCAGCTTCCTGATATTTCAATGTGATTATTGTTTTGTGCTGAATCAATGAAGAGCTTTTTGTGAAGGAGGTTAACAATGAGTTGTGGGTTATAGTTACTCAATTAAGATAATTATGGTTATTTTTTGGTAATACTTACAAATGCACGGATCAATCTGCATGTTTCGGGTAGCCTGAGGTTCCAATGCACTACAGTCACCTCAGTAGTATTCGTAAGAGTAGTTTGCATCTTGAAATAGAATATGTGTTTATTTGAAATCAAAATTCGCAGTGAGCTTTGTAAAATGAATCAAGATTTTAAAACAATATATTGCTTTCAAAATTCAACAACAAATTACATCTGTATAGCGCCTTTCATATTGTGAGGACATCCCAAGGGACTGGGACAGTATCCAAATTAAAATATAGCAAGAAGCTACCAGTGAGTACACTGACTTCTGGACTGTTACGTTTTTCCAAAAGAAAAGTTGGATTGAAGCTTGCTACAGATTGTGATACGATTGTTTTACGACAGATAAGGAATCCTAAATACATTTTGATCATAGATTGTCATGAAGGTTGATGAATGTAAGAAATCTGCAATATCTTAAGCAGATATTATTCAGAATTAATCGAACAACCTTAAGCACTTAGAACTTTATTCTAATTAATGTTTGTGGCTTAATTTCCCTTTAGGTACGTTGGTTAAAAGGAACATCCGGCCAAGTTAAATTTCATCCCAGTGACTTGTTTGTAAGAGTTGACCTTATTTTTGATGCATTTGCTCATCACTTCAGTCATTTAGTAAAACTGGAAACAACTGAATCAGAACAACTGCAGAAAAAAATTCTCCTGGATATAGCAGATGTGGACTTGGCAATGCCGCAGGTATGTTTGTAGCCTCTCACCCTACAAATATTCACAGTGAAATGTTTGTAAATTTCCGCTCAATAGGTCTTTTTGTGAAAACACAGTAGTTTATAGTACTTTAAAAAATGTAACATTGCTACTTAACTTTAAGGATCAATATTCCATCAATTTTGTTTTAGCCTGAATTATAAACTTTATTTTGCCAATATAAGCAAGATAAAATTGTATCAAGTTGAAGAATTAAGAGTAGGGGATTGTCTTTTTTCTATTTTATTGCTGCAGTGTAGAGGAGTTTGAAAGACGGTCTTCAATTCAGAAAGGGAACATTGAAATTCAATTATGCTTTATCAGAAATTAACTGTTGGCATTGAAGGTTTTTTCTTTATTTTTGTTCTTGTAAAAAGGTTCTTCTTACTGAACAAAATATGTTTTATGCATGTGTGATCAAATACTACATCCAATTTTTTTCAGGATATTTGTATTAAGTATTCTCATGGTACCAAATAATGTACTATAATATCAACCTCTCACTGTTTATATCAGCATATTTATTTGTCTGGCCCAGACAATGTGAGAATGGCTGTGTTGCTGTTCAAACTAAAATTTGCACACATGGACAGTAGATCAAAAGCTCTAGTATATTTATAATAATAATCCTTGCATTTGATATAGTGACTTATCACGTTTCAAAGATAAAATCAAAAAAATATTTGGTTGCTGAATGCAGTTGTGGACTAGTTGGTTCAGTTTGCAAACATCTTAGTCTTAGTATTTGCTGTTTATTTTCTTTAAATCTGATTTTAGAAAACACATGAAGATCATCTCTTAACATTATTGCCAAGTGAATTGAACTCTGACTCAATTTAGCAAAAGGTTTTGCCAAAATTGTTACTACAGACTAGAGTCGAGTACAGTCTTGGTTGTGTTGGTATGAGAGTTTATTTTGGAGATTAGTGCTATTAGTGGAACCATTAAAAGGGTACAAATCATTGCTGCTGACCTGTATCACAGTTAACCAAACAGCTTTCCTGGGGTTTACTCATATCTGTCACTATATGATTACTACCCAGATAAGAAAAGTAAATTATGTGCAGAAAGTGTCATACCTGCTTTGTTGATGTACTTGTCCTCCTTATATCCGTTTCTTTTATAGCCCAATGTTAGCGGAATGGATCCTCCATTTGGGGATGCCTTTCGTAACCACACATTTACAGACCAGGCCTTAACCAGTACAGATTTGTTGGGGAATAATTCTGACCCTGACTTCATGTATGAACTGGTAAGACTTCTTACCCAAGTACTGTACGAGTAAAACAAACCTATGTTTCCTCTGGTCAGTTGAGCAAAGTGTTGGTGGATTATTTTTCCAAGTGGGTTGAATTTTGAGTAATGGTCCTGTGTAAAACGTGGAGCTTTGGCAATAATATAGATCAGGGTGATCCAACCTTTTGGCTGGTGCGGGCCAGATTCCTAATTTGAAAAAGGTCCACAGGCCACATCCAGTGTGACCCAGTGGGTAATTCCAACTTCTGCTTCCTCCCTCCCTGGTGAACATCCTCCCAGGGCAGCAGCAGGAGCCGTCAGTTGGGAGGATGTAGCGCGGAGAGTGGAAATAATATCTGCTGTTACTGCAGGAAGCAACTGCTGGCTCCTGCCGCTGCCCTGGGAGGATGTGATTGCCGTCTGGCTGATTGGGGGTGGGGTGCGGGGGGGTGAAAGAGAGAGAGAGAAAGATTGAGGTGGGGGAAGAGGAGAGATTGAGGTGGGGGAAGAGGAGAGATTGAGGTGGGGGAAGAGGAGAGATTGAGGTGGGGGAAGAGGAGAGATTGAGGCGGGGGAAGAGGAGAGATTGAAGCGGGGGGAAGAGGAGAGATTGAGGTGGGAAGCGGAGAGGGGATTGAAGGGAGAAGCGGAGAGATTGAAGGGGGAAGAGGAGAGATTGAAGGGAGAGAGGGGAGCACTCTTCCCACCACCACCTCTCGCCGCCCCTGAACACCTGGATACAGCCTGTGGGCTGCCTGTTGGACCACGCGGGTATAGGTTATCATGTTAAATCTACATTTAACATTGTGCTTTATTTGTGCACGATGCTCAGAAAAATTGGATCAAATTCGAGTAGTTTGGTAAAATACAGATTAGTTACAAACCTAGTTCTGTCAACTTTGGGGGAGGAGTTACTTACTAAGTAACTTTTTTCATATTCTTCATAGCACTATATTTTAATTGCAATTTTTCATTAAATCTTTTTCAGGACAGAGAGATGACGTATACTCACAATTCAAGAGAAGATCCTCTTGCTATGGGAGACTGCAAAGACATTGAAAGTGTAGAACCTCTAAATGAACTGATCAATTCAGATCCTTCCTATACTTCAAACTGGGAGCAGTGGGACACATACTGGGAAGACTTGACAAAATATACCAAATTGACGAGCTGTGACATCTGGGGAACTAAGGAAGTAGACTTTCTTGGACTGGATGACTTTTCTAGCCCATACCAAAATGAAGAGATTATCAGCAAGACTCCAACTTTAGCCCAGTTGAACTGTGAAGATTCTCAGCCTGTTTTGGATTCGTTATATCATCCTGATTTACTAAAAAGTTTAAACCAGAATCCATTAACCTGTTCTATGGCTGGTAAGAAACTCTCGACAAACAGAGCAATGCCTCCAGTGACATCTGCTAAAAGACCCTGTTTCGAAGCTTGCTTGCCTGAAACTATACAAAAAGCAACAAAATCTGTTTCTTCAAGTACAAATGTGGACAACAGCAACAAATCTCAGCCCCTTAATAATAACAAAAAAATGGGGTCTGTTCATGTGGATAATAAAGACTTTGTAAAAAAAGCTAAAGTCTGGATCAGTCCAGCACCACCTGGCAAATCAACGGTGAGCACGAGCCAGGTACACACTGAATTACTAGATAATTCCTGCAGCAGTGACAATGGCGCAGAAGCCAGGATGCCGGAGAAAAGGAGTGCAGAAAATCTATACGGTGGTAAACCTCCCACCGTATTCAAAGAGGCTGATGTCCTGTACAGTCCAACGGAAGCAACCCAAATGTTATCACCCTCCATCTCTGATCACTCCCAGAAAAAGGAAGAGCACAATTATTCTCTATTTGTTTCTGATAGCCAAACGGAACATTCTCCCAACATTGAGCAAGAGGCAGATGACGAGGATGATGATGAGGATGATGAGGACCATGATGAAGGATTCGGTAGTGAGCACGAGTACAGTGATAATGAGGATGAAGATGACGATGAGGAAGAGGAGGACAAGGAGGACGATGTCAGTGACACCTTCTCTGAACCAGGTAGCTGAAATATTACCTTATTAAAGCTGAACTGAGTGCACATCAACACTTCCCTGGCTAACTAGTTGTCTTCATGTTCAAGGCACTGTGCCTCTTTAATTAAAACCTGCAAACTCCATTTGATCAGAGTGATTATAAATGGATCAAGGCATTGCATAGTGGCTTTGTGTCTGCCAGATGTCATAGAGATTTCCAGTTCACTCTTTGATTATAAGTTATGTAATTCTTATTTTATTATGTAGCAAAGAATGATGAAGTATGTACTGGTTTGTTCACAGTTGATCATATCCTAGTTGATTTGGGTTTAAATGTGTTTTTAGTGGCCAGGGTTCATCTTGGACAGTTAAAAGAATTGTTACCAGGTTAGATTAATAAAAGTTGTTAGCAGCTGTATGTCAATTACATTTGAGCTGCTGGAATTTTTNAGACTGATTCAAAACTATATTCAAACCTGCATAATGATAATCATCATGCATCCTTCAACTGTAATATCGGTGTAGTTTAGATTGTGATCTCTATGATTCCTTGCAATTTGTATTTTGCAATTAACTAGAGTAGTGATCACAAAGGAGGAGAGATGGAAGAGTGCCAGTTTTTCCTCTAACGGCGAAAGTGTCACTCCCAATAAGCACTCTTTCCAGACAGGAACATTTATATGACTGGGAGCACTAGCTCTAAAAATTTCGACCTTTGTTACCAGGGCACCAAAAATGTATAGAAGGTATGGCAGTGAAAATAATTAGTTGTAAAATATTTTGGAAGAAAATGTCTAATTTATTTAATGCCTTCTTTAGTGGTTTCTCACTGTGGATTAAAATGTTCTGTTTATCTGTTTTTTCACTAAATCCATAAGTAAATAAGCAGAACAATTTGCCAATGTCCATTTTTAGCTAAGCATTTACGTGGCTTTAAGAAAATAGAGTGGAATCACAATCTACTCAATATTATAAAGTTGCTACTTATTTTGTAGGATACGATAATGACACTGTAGAAGATGTGAAAGATGCAGTAACCGGCATCTCTAGGAAAAGGAGCAAAAGAAGGTACTTTTGGGAATACAGTGAACAGCTAATACCACCACCTAAACAAGATCGAATGTTGAAGCCTTCTGAATGGGATCGAGACACTTTACCGAGTAACATGTATCAGAAAAATGGTCTGCACCATGGTAAGTGGAAGAAACTGGAGAAAGATAAGCAGGACACGATCTGCAACGGTTTAGCTGGTTGAACTCCCAATAGTACCCCATCGTGTGCACTGTGTTCCCTTGGCTTTTGCCATCCTGCATCCAAGTTTTCCAGGTTGAGGTTGACAGGATGTATCTCTCCAAGTATAGTGTGTGTTCTCCATACCAGACACATAGAAACCATATATTTGTGTATATTTGTGGATTTCTTTGTAGTTTGGTTTGAAAATTAATAAGAATGGTCATGGGATTCTGTGGGTGTCAGATACTGTCTGAAGAAAGAAAAGATTGATGAATCTAGGGACATTGACTCTAATTAATGGTTTGTGTTCTTCTCAAGCTTGAAATTTCTGCACAATTTCTTTCCTTCTACACTATAACTATTCTTATTTTGAACTCCTCTCCTGATACATTTTCTGCTGTCATCAACACTGTTATCAAAAAAAAATATTCTGGAGGTTTTAGCTTAAAGTATTTGCATATTTTCTGTGATTGAAATAATGAAGATCAAAATAGCCATGTGCCATAGTGGCTTCAGTGATGTGACTCGTGAAATGTTAAGAATGCAGCTGAGGGCCACATTATAATGGGGTAAACAGGACGGTCAACGACTGGGCACACCCCTTAGAGTCAGCAGGCTTGAAAAACATTGCCAACCCATTTAAAATGATATAATAATCCTTGCATTTGATATAGTGCTTTCCATGTAGTGAAGATGTCTTGAAAGCACTTGATAGGATTTACTGTGAAGTGCAGTGACTGTATTTTGTAAGTGTGTAATTTTGTGTGATAATTTAGAAACACATTAGGTCCTAATTTTAAACAAAAATTAGTGACATATGGCAGGTTTAGGTGTACAATACAATACAAAATTTCATTTGTATAGCGCCTTTCACGTCAGGAGGATGTCCCAAGTTCCTGGACAGACAGGGATTTGGACCCGATCGGGGAGATGGGAGGGTAGGAGGGTGGCTGAAGGCTCGGTCGAAGAGGAGGGTTTTGAGATGCAGCTTGAAGGAGGTGAGGGAGCGAGGTGAAGGGAGTGTGGGATTGAGTTCCATAGGGTGGAGCAGAAAGGCTGAAGGCCTGACCATCGATGGTGGGACGGGAGGGGTACTTGGAGTAAGCTGCGCAGAGGATGTAGAAGGCCGGGTGGAGGACGTGGAGCAGGCCACAGCCTGCTGAGCAGAGGGAGTGATGCAGGTGCTTATTGAAATACAATTTCTGACTATTCAAGATTGAATTTATTTAAGACATGGATTAGTAGGAACTAGATTTTAATTTTTTTTAACAATTGAGTTATTAGATTATCGACATTCTGCTTTTAGACCTTGAACTCGTATAGATTCTTTGTTTTTGTTGGTTACAGGAAAATATTTAGTAAAGAAGTCCCGCAGAACAGATGTGGAAGACTTGACTCCAAATCCCAGAAAACTACTTCAGATTGGGAATGAACTTAGAAAACTGAATAAGGTTATTAGTGATTTAACTCCAGTAAGTGAGCTGCCAATAACTGCCAGACCAAGATCCAGAAAAGAGAAGAACAAGCTAGCATCCAGGTAATGAGAAGAGACGAACACAACTTGTATTTATATAGCGCCCTTCGCGCGGGGCAGTGTCTCGGAGACGTTCTAAAGAGACTATATATGCGGAATACTTATTAAATAACTAAATGCAAATTGATTTTAACATTTTATTGCCAAAAATGTTTAACCTTATCCATGATAATGGCGAGGATCTAACTGGTGCACTATTGGAACCGGTAAATAATTGAATACTTGTACATTGTACTTGTACCATTTAGTACCCAAAATGACAATGGGTAGAGCTTGGGAAAGCTGAAGAAATCAGAGAAAACGATCAAGTTCACATATTTAGCATTTCTCTACAGTATGTATACATTCTGTTAAACCATGTCTGATTTGGATGGTCAAAGATTGGCAACTCTTGTACTGTTAAGTTTAAAACTATGTCGAGACCAACTATCATTTCAGTCTTTACTTTGAACAATTTGATATTTAGGAGGTAGCAGCAAATAAGAATGGGATTAAGAACTTACTGATGCAGGTCAGTGGACTATCCACTATCCCTCTTATTATACTTGGAAGCTAGGGAGCAGAGAATATGAGAACCCAATAATATTCTGAATATTAATAAAAAGATATTAATATTCTCGAATGTATTCTATTTCCCAGCCCACAAAAAAAGTCTATCCCATAAAAGGATGGTTAGAGCTCTACCTACTATTTATGCCATTAATCACTCATTACCACTTTTATTTGCCAAGAGGAATTAATTGCTGTAAAAAATACAGCGCACATTTCCATTCTCTTAATTTGCTAAAACAACTTACCTTCCTTTGTCTGAAAGTTAGATATTTGGGAAAGTGTTTTTTTTAAACATACTTATTAAATAATTTTGTAATTGGAATCAAAAGTAGTTGTTTCTGACACAATTGGATGATTTAAAATTTTTAATTCATTTATCTATTCCACATATGTATACATAGGTGGCCTATTCAACTGGGAACATCACAGGAGTCATCCCTTTAAGATTTCAACATAGCCCAAAAATGTGTGGCACTGTATAGGGGTAGCTCCAGGCATTCATCTTCAGTTTTTCTCCCACCATCGACACCAGTTACATCATTTTTGTTACATTACATGAGAAGTTTCTTCTCAGTCGGTAACTGTTTTATACTGCCCCAAAGGCCCCAATATTTTTATTTTTACAGAAAAGTCCACATAAGTATCTTGTTCCATATTGAATTTTAAATTTTATATCAACTGCAGAAAACATCTCAGTTGCGAGTGTGCTTCTACTTCCACCTTCTTGATCTCAACCTTTGGTCGACATAGAGGATTAGTGTCTTCTTGACACCAAAAGTATTTTAAATTCGATTGATCACACCACAGGCCCTTCTTCTCCTTTGGCATCCCTTGAAGATGATGTACAGAGGATCCCATTCTTCATTTTAGACCTCCAAGTTTCTGTGAAGAAAACTGCTTGTGTGTCATTAACTAAATAATTTCAAGTACTGCTCAGGCTGTGTTTGCCTGTAAAATTCCAGAACCAAACCTGGATCTCTAGCATGAAGAAGCAAGAAATAAAGTTTCAAATGCCTTTGTTAGTTTTGTAGCTTCCTCTAGTTAAACACTCATATAGGTCTTGAGATCATAGAATAATAGAATCAGAATTATTCAATACAGAAGGAGGCCATTCAGCCCATCATTGTCCGTACCAGCTCTTGGAAAGAGCTGTCCAAATTAATCCCACTCATCTGCTCTCTCCCTATAGCCCTGCAGATTTGTCCTCCCTATGTTTTATTGTAGTCGGTGCTGTTGCAGTAGAGAAAACAAAATGTTTAACGGAAAGAGTTGGCATTGGATACTCCCATGTTATTGTTGGGAGATATACTTCTTCGCTATTGTTACTTTACCTGCAAATCCAGAGATTGTTCTGCCCTCATTGGGGTTTTCTTATGCTACAAAGACTTATTCAATAATGGACATAACAAATTGGTAATAAACTTACTTTGGACAAGAATCCTTTGGAGATGAGATTGAGGAAACAAGCACGGTTTTAAGGACTGCATACAAGGCATGAAAGCTGTTCTCTTGGTTTAGTTCCAGGCAAAATCTGTTCAAAGATGGTAGAATTGAGTTTTAGCAGGCACATCCTTTTTTCCATCAATCTTTTATGAACTTGTTTTTTGACTCCAGCTTCTAGTGGTATTCACAACAAGGATGCAATCATCACCGTGACCATCCTTCTGTGCAATGATATTTCTGTCTTTGCTGGTGACCTGGAGACTCTAGTTTCTTCTCTCAGTGAGGAACATTAGTAGATTCTGAGAAACCATGTCCACGTTATGTTGCTGTTCCTTTCTTTTCAGACATCCATATTCATCAGTACTATACCATCGGTTCTATTGAAAAGGGTCACCAAAATGTATGTTACTATATGATGTAGGATATCTGTTATCTTTTTGTGCACTTGACAGAGCAATGGGAGGTAAAAGTTCTTGTCCTCCTACTTTGTAGTTTTCCTGGGAAAACAGAGGCTGTTGAAGCCTATTCTTATGAATCTGAAAACATGCCTGAAGAAGAAAATGTTTAAGATGAAGGTGTTACAGTTTCCATTCAGATAGTGTGTTGTCTTGGAGCTACCAACCTCAGGATGCATCTTTCCATATGGAGTACCATGAAACTATTCTCCCTTTCTCATCTCGTAGGGAAGTATAAGGGTTATTACCCTCATGCCATCTCATTAAGATTCTTTATCAGACTCTTACCAATGATTATATTCATCCAACAACAAATTCCATTTGTATAGCGGCTTTCATGTCGGGAGAACGTCCCAGGACGCTGGACAGTCAGGGATTTGGACCCGAGCAGGGGGTTGGGATCAGGAGGGAGGGAGGCTTGGGGTGGGAGGATGGCCAAAGGCGCAGTCAAAAAGGAGGGTTTTGAGATGTGCTTTGAAGAAAGCAAGGGAGAGAGCAAGGCGATGGAGTTCTAAAGGGAGGCGACAAAGAGGCTGAAGGCCCGACCGCCAAAGGTGGGGCAGGGGACATGGAGCAGGCTGCTGAGTGTAGGGAGCGAACAGGTTGACATGGGGTTACCAAGTCACAGAGGTAGGAAGGAGCTAATCTTAGAATGCAACTTTCAGACAGACTCGCTAATAGTTGCCATCAACTATTTAGGTGCCTTGGGGCACATGATTATATCATTTGTTTTCTCATCCCTATTTGAATTTTTTTTAGCATTCTATGCCCGAATTCATAAATACTTTGTTTCACAAACTAAACTTTTGCATTGGTAAAAGGCAACCTACCTCTCAGTTACACATTCTAGATTGTAATGAATGTATGCTTTTCTTACTTGTGTTCATCTGTAAAGCAAAACGGAAATCCCAAGTACAGCTGAACTCAGATGTGGAAGCTTTAAAAACTTGTAATAGTGTTTGCAATTTTGCCCAAGGTTTCTCTAATGAGACTGTGCTATAGACATCAAGCAAATGCAAACAGGAAAGGCTCTGAGATAGCTTCATCCTCATGATACTTTTGCTTAGTATTGCCACGTAATGAGATTACGGAGGCTGGAGAAAGTCCAGCCAGTCTCACATTGCGGAACTTGTTTTTCAAATGCTTCGAAATCAAACGTCCCATTGAGATGATAATTACAATAACCTACACTTATCCTTTCATCATTGCAAGTGTCAGCAGTAAATGGTCTTTTAATACCTTATTTATCAAAACTCGTCTCCTCCAGGTCTTGGAATCGTGTGAATCATAGCTTTTTGCAGTGTTATATTTCTTATAATTTTAGCATTGAGTACCTGGGCCATTTACAGTTTGCATTTAGGACCAAGACTTCATCCTGTCTTTCTTGCAACATAGTCCGGATGACCCTTTTATTACCTCGATGGTGCTAAAGGACTTCAGCCCAGTTTCATGAGAGTATCTGCAGAAGCTATCTCTGCTTTTCATCCACCTGTGGAAAGGAGCAATTTGGGAAGGCATGCTTTTATTTTCATCTTCGTTTTATGAAGCTTGGGCAGTTCAAGCCACAACTAAGCACTTGGCGAAAGCATGAAATACTTGTGCTGTATAAGTTGATGATCCCTTCCCAAAGACCTGAGCCTGTGGCTACTGTAGATTAAAGATGCTGTCAACACAACGTGGTTCCTAACTCCAATCTGGCAAGAGAGTTCAAGAGCTTCACGAAATAGTGGAGGACACACAGCCCTGTAATTTTTTTTATTTTTTTCCCCCCAGTTGCATAGGCTACCTATCCATGGGATGTGGAGTGTACCTATTCAGAAAACGATGGCCACATTATTGGAAAGGTGAGTAATTAAATTTATTCCAAGGAGATTCCGTTTTGATTTGTTAGCGTTCCTTAAAATACTTGAGTGCAAATCTGCATGTTATGTCTGATTTTAAACAGAGGGAGGGAAGTTCTAACTTTCAACATGCTAAATAAACGGATCCTGTTAATGTTGGCAGGATAGTTTGAGGGCTGTTCTGTTAAGAAATCAGGGTTAAAACCTTTGAAAATCACTGTTCCTCAATAAATAAGAACATTTTCAAAATGGACCAAATGTAGATCTATTGCTATGTAGTAAAATAACTCAAGCAGATACACCATACCCTTAGATATTTCTACTCTATTTGCTGTGGATATAAAAAAGTTATTAAGCAAATTCATATTGCCCCAATAAAGAAACCCAGTCTTTAGTATTGAAATTTCAAATTTCTTATCGCTCTTATCTTAACACATTACAAAAGCAGTTAAGTTAAGCAAACGGATAAGAATATACTATGGAAACTCCTTACACTGACCTCACAAGAAGATGACAGGCCTGGCATAGAGTGGGTAGAACTCCATAACTTTGATTTGATTTCCCCAATATAAAACATCCTTGTACTTTCTTAAATAAAGAGAGAGGGACAGGATTGTAAGCAGGGTCTCCTCCAGGCTCAGATGACAGCAGTATAACCGTGCTGGCAATCGAATATTACCATTGAGTTAATCTCCTGTGGTAGTCTCAGTCG